TCAGAGCTGGCAAACTGGAGCCGAACACTTCAAAGGATGGGTCCAGGGAGCGAGCAAGGGAAGGGAGGCTGACGACCGTCTCTTGAGTCGCGATCACGCCCAACTTTTCCCATGTCTCAGTATCGATAGAAGTATCTTGAATGTTGTCTTCATGTTTGTCAGCCAGCTCGCCCATCACCACATCTTGTCCAACCACCACCGCACCGGAGCCAGACGCCTCCTTCTGGGGCACCACCGCCGAAGATTTGGTCACTTTCGCACCGATGGCAGCTTCCTTAGAGGGGATGCCCGCGGGTAGCCCAGACTTGTGCGACCCGCCCTTGCCTTGCTGGCTATCTGGAGGGGGAGCAGAGGGGCCCGCCCCTGGAGCACCACCCCCATCCCCCAGCCGCCGCGGCAGCCGTTCCAGCTCCACCTTGATCTGGTACCCTTCGTGGTTGAACCATACCTCAACCGTGCCATTCAGCTTGGCCGGCATCTTGCAAGCCAGTTTCATCCTCACCGGACCCATCATAATGAGGGAGAGCTCGTCGACCACGATTAGCCGACCCAACATCTTGAACGCCTCCTTGATACGCTCAATTTTGTGGTGTTTCTCAGGGATCCCGTGGAGCCGCACCCAAGCTTCTGGCATCACCATCGAGGGAATCACCTCGTGCACCACATCCCGCACCCTAGTAGTGATGTCATTAATGGAAAGGAACAACTTGCCACTAGTCCGAGCCATATGAAGGAGATCTGCAGAGGGGAACACCACCATGAAATCGTCCTCTCCCACTTGAGTGACTTGCCAGTCCCAGTCCCCCGTGACCATGTGCTTGAGCTCCTGCTTGAGGACCCGCAGGTTTAGGCGGCCCGGCTCTACAGAGAGAATCGCAGCATTGCCAACCGAGAGCGGCCGTGGTCCCTCAAGATCTTCCTCCTCGTCGAACTGAAGGCAGAAGAAGCCTTCCCCTGAGATTGCGCTTCCCATAATCTGCAAGCAAGGCTGCCGACCCCTCGTCAGGCAGTGCGCAGATGCGTGGCCCTCTTCCTTGCACAGCACACACAAAGGCTGGAATTTGCACTTAGACTGGTAATGACCAAGTCTCCCACACTTGAAGCATTCCACGTCCGGCGCCTCCGACGCGTCCTCCACCGGAATGGGCTCGCCCGCTGTGCCCTTCGCACCAGGGGGAAGAGACACTGCCAGAGGTTCGGTCGCCCCCCTGGGCTTCTTGGCCAGTGGATCCCCGTGGCCACCACCACAGTTGGGGTGATCCACCGGCTTGCGCTCGAGCTCCCAACGCCGCGCCATCTCCTTTTTCTTCTTTTCTCTCTCCTGCTGTTGGATCCACCAAGGGGGGGAGGACCCCAATCCCCCTCGCGCCCCTCTTGCTCGTGGCTCCGCTCAGATCTACCACTTGGCCTTGCTCGCATCTCCTTCTTCACCTTCTCCCGCAGGTCACGCTCACGCCGCCGCTCCCCATCCGAGACCGGGGCCTCCATAGGCCTCTTCTCCGCACGCCGTCCGCTCATCACCGCCGCCGCAAACGAAATGGAAGGCGGATGAGGTGGGGAAATGGGGTGGATGGATCTGGCGAGGTGAGCCCAGCACCGCACCTCTTTTCTGGTTGCGGGAAACCCTAGCGAGGGGTCGGGGCAGCCACGGCGCATCCATAAATAGACGCCAGGACAGGACCGAGGCCGAGGCAGGCCCGACGCGGGCCGATCCGCACCGACAGGCCCACTGAGAGCCAGTCCAGCGCCCCCTGGCGACACGCTGGCCCCCACGTGGCTAGATCCGCCGACGCTACCCGGCCTTGGCACATGGGCCGGGCCACAGCCCACATGCCCTTCCACGGCCCCGGGCCCAACGCTGCCAACCCTAGCCACAGGAGAGACAGAGCCGCCCACCGCCGCCTGCGGCCCTGCCGCCGCCTCCGCCGCCACCGGCACAGAAGCCACCGTCGACGGCAGGCTCGGCCAATCGGCCTCCGAGTCCACCGGAGCGAGGAGCGCAGCCGCCGCCCGTGACCTGATTTCCCGAGCGGCACCACCAGGGGACACCGAGCCCCTGCCCGGAGTCTTAGAGGGCCGCCAGGCACGGACGGCGACGACTCGCGGCCCCCGGCCGCCCGGAGCGAAACAGCGGTGCGCCCCAGCGACGCCGCTCCCCTCCGCTTGCGCGAAGGCAACGAAATCTCCTAGCGACGGCCCCGCCGGCACCAGACGCCCTACCTTCGCCTCTGGATCCGCGTCCTCCTCGTCCTCCGACTCAGCGCCAGCCAACGCCCCGAGAAAAACAACTATGCCTTCTCCAGTGCAATGATACTCTCCACTAAGCGATAGAGCTACTACGACTTCCGGTTGAATTTACAGAAAACGAAATGCCAGCGTGTGTATGACAAATCATCTACTCAAGAATCAATAATGAAGTGCATCCAACAAATGACCGAATCAGGATGAGATCATGAAAGAAGGAACAACAAGGACCCCAAAGTTTCGTCATATACACTGATTATGTATCAGTGCCACTGTACGGCTGTACTTTACCCATGGCACAACTAGTAAAATCCGAATCATATTAGAATAAATTCGAGGCATACCGTCGATCATCCGAGTACCAAACAATCACATGAGCACGACTTCGAGATTTGTTAACGAGGTTCACCGATATGGCTACATTTTCGGGGCTTGACTACAGACGCTCCTCCCCGTGACACCGTCACAATACCGCAGACCGGCCACCTGGGCGCCGTCACATGCCGCCGGCTCCCCCTTGCGTGCCCGTGTTATTATGTTGGCATAGGTTACATCATGTGTCTACCCCCGCTATATAAGAGAGGCCTAAAATATTAGTGTCCTACTAGAACACGACTCCACATCCTATATAAACACAATACAACTATAAGTCCAACTGTAACCTACCTTGTATACAATATTTGACACAACTCTAACAAATCATGATGAATTCGGTGGGACTTACAGGCTGGAAATAGATGAGATTACATGCTTCACCAGCCGCAGTAAGACTGAAATCGAGATGGAGTTACACTGAAAATTCCGCAAAAAAGTGAAGTGCGCTAGGTAGCGATCGAACTCCAGCCATCCCCCTAGTCAGCGCATGTAGGCTAGCCACGGGGGATAACGTCAGTTGTTGTCTCGTACACAGCGTGAAATATTCAAGAACTGACATTTGGGCCAGATTCTGAAACATTTTTTGAAAATTCAAAATACGAACATTTTTGTACAGTAGCGCCCGGAACTATAGCTGCCTTTTCTTTAACTCCGAATTTTTTTCTAAATTTGCAAAAAATTCTGAATTCGAACAAAAATTGAAACAGGAACATTTTTTGAATAGCAAGATTTTTTAATTTCTGAACAAAATTTGAAAACGGGAACATTTTCATAAAAGCACGAACATTTTTATAAATTGTGAACCAAAATTGAAAACAGGAACAATTTTCGAACTTCTAAATAATTTTTGAATAGCAAGAACATTTTTTAAATTCCCGAACAATTTTTGAATTTCTGAACAAGATTTGAAAATGGGAACATTTTTCATAAAAGCACAAACATTTTTTTAATTTCTGAACCAAATTGAAAACAGTAACATTTTTCAAACTTCTGCACAATTTTTGAAAAACCACAAACATTTTTTGAAAAAGCACACAATTTTTGAATTGCTGAACAAAATTCGAAAGAGGAAATATTTTGTGAATTTATAAACAATTTATGATAAATGCAAACATTTTTTGACATTTACGAACATTTTTCCAAAACACACAAACATTTTAAAAAATAAAAATAAACTTAAAAAAGAAAAAAGAAAAAAAATGAATGGATAAAAGGAAGAAGAAAATAAGGAGAAAAAAGAAACAGGAAAAAAGGAAAAGGGAAAGGAAAAGAAAACAGAAAAAGAAGAAAGAAAAAGGAAAATAGAAAACCAGCATAAGGACCTTCTAGAAGGTTCCCAAAACCGATAAAAACCGGTAGGGAAACTTCTAGAAAGTTCCCCAAACCGGAACTGCCTATAGTGGGAGATGGGCCGGCTCAGCTGATCGCTCCCCTATGTGATCGGTCGACTGCTTGACGCAGAGAGCGTCAAATAGGATTTCCCGATCAGCCCTGCCATGTAGCACGCTTCCACACGCACCAGCTAGGCCCGCTGGGCCAGCCCACACCGTGCGTCGCTTGCCTTGGCTTCAGCCGCGCCGCCTGTACGCTCGCCCGATGGATCAACACGATCGATCGCCGCACGTCTGCCGCCACCGATGCTTTGGCCTCATATCCGCATCTCGTTCTGATTACTGCTCGAAGATCACAGCTCGACCAATCCTGCCTCGATGATAACTCGCCGATGATATTCATCCCGTATTACGATCGCTTCCTGCAGATTTATGTCGATGCATCTTCTTCCTCTAGATCAACTTTCACGACCTTCAAAACAACCTAGCTCATGATACCACTTAGAATAAATCCGAGGCATACCGTCGATCATCCGAGTACCAAGCAATCACACGAGCACGACACCGAGATTTGTTAACGAGGTTCACCGATATGGCTACATCCCCGGGGCTTGACTACGGGCGCTCCTCCCCGTGACACCATCACAATACCGCACACCGGCCACCCGGGCGCCGGCAGACGCCGCCGGCTCCCCCTTGCACGCCTGTGCTATTATGTTGGCATAGGTTACATCGTGTGTCTACCCCGCTATATAAGAGAGGCCTAGGATATTAGTGTCCTACTAGAACACGACTCCACATCCTATATAAACACAATACAACTACAAGTCCAACTGTAACCTACCTTGTACACAATATTCGACACAACTCTAACAAATCATGATGAATTCGGTGGGACTTGCAGGCTGGAAATAGATGAGGTTACATGCTTCACCAGCCGCAGTAAGACTGAAATCGAGATGGAGTTACAAATACAACGCAAACAACGAAAAAAATACAGATACTGGCTGTGACAAGGAGAACAGCTTTGCAGGTTGTTAACAAGCTCTGTCAGTCATCGATCTCAATGATCACATGGCCCGTATCCATGTCCACATCCTGCTCTCTGCGGACAACTTCACGCTGCCACTCTGTTTCATCAGCTTCTTTGTACGGATTTGGTATATCTAGTATAGGAGAACAATATTGAACAAGAAGCAGGATGTGGGTCAGAAACTCGCCACCTTTGCTCAATTGTCTGGCGTGGAACTGCCTAGATGCATTGGTTGCTACATAGCACAACATCTTCGTCCACACTGTTCCAAATATATCCATCTTATGCGCGAGCCCCAACTCCATGTCGAGCATTGTGCAAGCAAGGGTGCATGCTTTCCCCAGCATAGCTTGGCCCGGGTCAGCATACCATTTGCTTTGCGCCAGGCTATCATTTTGTTTTCCTGTTCTCTCATCAAGTTTTTGCCTGAAATCCACAATCACCTGATAAGGTGCATACTCGGTATATGCAGCCTTACCGTAAGAGGTGCAGGTTCTGCGAAATAGGTTCCGAGCAGCCACCTTGGTAGGCAGAATGTCAGGGTGCTCAACAAGGAGGTACATCATGTAATCAGAGAGAGTATTGACTATTTCAGCCATGTCCTTGTCCTTGACGAGTAGCTTGCATTTGACGGCAGGTACATTGAGGAAGGCGCTTGTGGCCATGTGCCAGACAAGCACGCACTCGTGAAATTCAAATCTCAGGCTCCAGTCGAGCTGTTCACTCTGCTGGAAGCCACTAAAGCTGCGAGCCCAGTACCCACTCTGCATGCCCACATCTTCAATTCCTACCATATGCCTCTTCTCACCTTTGACGAGGCCCCATACATACTCCTTCAGGGCAGGTGATAGCTTGGCATGTTTGGTGCACTGAGGTTTGATCAAAGAGTCCTTGAGCCTAATCCACTTGGCAATTGTTTTCCAGAGGCTCCTCTTGTTGCTGTGAACGCAGAAGGATACGAAGTTGAATTGCCCAACAGAATGGAACCACCTTCCATCTTTGACGACGATGAGGTGGTACCGCGCGAACAGGATCGCGTTGGCCAGCCACTCCAATCCATGCTCTCTCAGGATGGCATAGGTCCAGGTCGACCCAATCGCCTTGAAAACAGATGCGACCTCCAGTGCGCAGGCTCCTCCCAGAAGAGCAAAAGTGATAACAATGTCGGGTGTGCTGTAGCCATCTCTCTTGCTCTTTGTGAAGACCACAAGAGCGGCAAAGCAAGACACAAGTGAAATGACACGGGTGCAGTAGCCATACCATGTGTGGTGGATGACTTGTGCCTTGGTGTACAGCGTGTTGTACATCACGGCGAGTTCCACCTCGATTGAGGTGTACACCTCCAGAATTTGCCTCTTCTCTTCTGCCGATGGATACTCTTCCCATGCACATCCCTGTACATGACCCTCTACCAGGTGGTTGATCCCATAATGCCGAAGCCAAACTATGGACGTCTCGTTCCTGTCCATGATTAAAGGCTTGAGAAACACATGGCACAACACGTGTGCTCTCATCACAATAAATGCATAATTTTCGAACTGTTTGCTTTCAGTGCGGTAGTCTCTTTCGGTGGAGGTTCCCTGCATCATATCCCCCCCATATTTGAAGCCCACTCCAGCTTCCCCAGACTTCTCTTCCAAAGGTGAACTTAAACCCCGCTTGATCGTCCGCGGAAAAGTCCTACGTGGTGGTGCACCGTCATCGGAACACATCTTGCTTGAAAGCTTCAGTGCCCGTATCCTCTCGCCATACTTGAAAACTCCGGCGGCCAGAACCAACATAGCGGGACGGACAAAGGTCGCCCCACCTGCAATGATGTACTTGTAGAGCACATAAGCGGTGCCCGCAACCTGCACAAACATATTCAGCAGGTGGCGCAGCCAGAGTTCATTATCCTCTAGGGCGTACGCGGTGATGCTGTCCTGGCCGCCAAGGTGCAGCAGGAGGAACGGTGCCCAGAACGCCACCAGCTGGTGCTCACCGGACGATTTCTTCGTCAACGACGAAGACATGTGCCCCAGGGCATACACCGCAGCAAGATCAGCAAGCAGATACACCAGCCAGAGAAGCGCCCGGAGAACAGAAGAGACGGTGTAGCGGCGGATCCCAGCAAAGAAGAAGAGGATAACCTGCAGACTAAAGCTGACAACAACAACAGCTTGGATCTCCCACTCATTCCACAGTTCCAGCAAATATTGCATCGGTGCTCCAGCTTCACCCATCCTGCAAGCAACAAAATAAATATAAATATACTGTATATACATTACATATCTATTTGGAAATGAAATATGTCACAGTATATACAGCTTGAAGAAATAGTAGTACACGCGCTAATGAATAAAGGCATACCTGTGAGTGAGCTAGATTCGGCTTGTGGCAGCAAAACTAGAACACAGAAGCACACGGAATTGGTAGGTAGGAGGGAGAGCTCAGGAGCTGTGTGGTACAAGAAGAATGGGAGGATCCGAGGGTATGCATATGCTTATATAACCAAAGACAAACACCCAGATCCGGTTATTGCGTTCCGAGTAACAAGTTGAGTAGCCTGCGCGGGTATCTTTGTTTTTCTTTTGACATTTATATAATAATGTTTCTTTTTAAAGCGTTTCTTATAAGATTCTCCAACGGCTGTTTTCCAGAGTATCTATTTTTTTTTCTTATCACTTCTCTTAACCAGGAATAGTTTGAGATTTTTCCTATGTCTAAGTCAGTTCAGTAACAAGTGCTACTAGGTGAAAGTGCAAAGGTTTTTTTTCCCTGAATCAACTTAGACAAAATAAGAACATTAAACCAACTTAGTTACACTTCAGTACTTTTTTGTCCCAGCAAAACAAGTGTTGTAGTACTTTTTTTCAAAAAATACACTTGGATCCCTAAGACTAGTCACAATGCTGAGTAACATACACTAGTAACATACACATATCCCTAGACTATGTTACTACCTTCATAGTGGGTAGTAACATAAGTGTGATAACATGCAAAGCTTCGTTTATTAGGTTATAGACTCATATTGTAATTGGGACATGTGATGTTACAGTAACTAGCTAAGTTACTATAACTACCTCTCTCCTCATTAACTCACTGCCACATAAGCAAATTTGCTGAGTTGGACTCGATGTTACTGCTGAAGTTACTCCCACTGTGGCTAGTCTAAACACTCCTGGTCTACTACCAAACCAGCAAGTCAAACACTCCTGAAAAAGATATACATTCAAAATCTTGAGGGTGGTGAAGTGTTCTACCTACTGCATTCATAGGCGGTGCGCCGCGAGCATAGCTCGATGCCGCCTCTAGGCCTTCGCCTGGGTGGAGCAAACTTTTTGAAACACAGGAGGCTATAAAAGCATCAGACAGGTAGTCGTCAATGCAGACTAGGATACGCTGGCGACCGCAATTTGCGAGCCAAATTGCCGCCACGGAGAAAAGAATGTCGACAAGGGCCACCAGAAACTCTAAATAACACGAAGACCATGAAAGCCTTCGCCTGGGTGAATCCAGACAAATCCACCGGAAACCTAAACCGATCAGATCTTGGAAGACCCACCAGAGACACAACTCCACACGCCCTCCACTGGCGAAAAACACACCAACTTTGGGGGGATAGAACGAGGAGAACATTATTCCTACCATAGGGCAACCCCACCACTTCAATCGCCCACACCAAGCACAAATACTCCCTAAAGTAAGCTTGAAAAAGGCCTCCATGCCGCTATACGCCAGACCGTGCTTTGATGTTAAGCTCGCCGTCATCCAGAACCGTGCACCAACATTCTCTTCTCCGGTGATCTACCCGGGTCGGTCCATCTATTAAGTTCTTCGCGTTGGATCCTTTTGTCCACCACCGAGTTCACCAATGCGGTTGGCGCGCATTGCTTGACGACGACCGCCGCTCGAGCATATATCTCCTTTGCTATCCCACAACAACTCTCCAACGCCTCCACAACAGGCCTCCCAGTTCCGGACCTCCCTGCCTTGCGCTAGGCGGGCTTTGCTTGACGGCACGCCCTGGTGGCGGTGAGAGGGGCAGCCGCAAGGCGGCAGCTAGGGTTTCTTGTTCCCCTCTGAGAAAACGATTCAATGCCTTGATTAGTTGGTCGCAAGAATGGGAAACTTATTACTACATTAGTGTGCATTTTTCACTTTGTACGTTATGTATATGGAGTCATTGCGATTTGAGCAACATTAAACCGAACAACCTAGACAGCTCACGTGCCATGCAGTGTGGTTCAACAATCAACACAGTATGGATCTATCTTCAGCGCTCCCATGGTCTCAAACAAAGGATCTCTGGTTCACGTGTACACATGTGGTCCATCGTATTCCAGTGGGTATCCCTTGACCAAGTTGGCCTACAAAACGATGAACGGGGGACAAGTAGTACACATAACAGACGGGTTTACTTTCATTTCTAAAAGGGACTTGGTCTTCCATATTATATGGCGTGCAATTTGATTGCAGCACGCTCAATCATCGGTGGAAAAAAGGATCCGTTAATGTGTCCATTGGAAGTTGGGTTTTTAAATCAAAACTACTGAGGTAGGCTAGGCTGTTGGGAGGAGGATACAATGCATATGAGATGCACTAGAAGACTAGCTCCATCTGAAACCCATGAGAGCGTTGAAGATACGACCTTTTCTTTTTCTTTCTCGTTTTTTGGGGGAAGATGACAAGAGACATGTTAGTAGTGATAGATACAGTGACGAGCCACGAATTAATTTCTATGAAAGGGGGTTCGGAGGATAAGCTGCTGATTGTGTCCTCCCTTGAGTAATTTTTAGACAAGACAAGTTTAAAAAGTTTTCAAGTAATTTTTAGATGTATATTTGGTGTACTATAGCTAGCTGCATGCATGAATGCAGGCTTATGACCGAGCTAGATTGGACTTACGTTAGCAAGCTTAAGCTGTAACACAGAACCACAACAAAATTGAAAGGGCCAGGAGGGAGGCCTCAGGAGAAGTACAAGAACCGGATGATCGGGTGTATGCATATCCATATATCACTTAATACAAACCAGCCAGATCCGGTTCTTCCGTTCCAAGTAACAAGTTGAGTGGCCTGCGCTTTATATATTTTTTGTCATTTACACAATAATGTTTGTTTTAACATGTAATTCTAGAATCTCCAGCAGGTGTGAACTGCATCTTTTTTTCCTGCAACGCTCTCATGGGTTTCGATCTGGTTGGCACATGTACATGTGATCCACCATATTCCAGTCCAATACCTGTTAACCAAGTTGGCATACAAGTAGTAGGAATGATAAATGGGGGACATGTACACATGACAGATGAGTTTACTTCATTTCAAATAGGGACCTCGTTCCAATGGATTCCTTTACTTGGTCCTTCCATATTCTATGTGTGCAAGTTGATTGCATCCATCGGGAGTCGGGGGTTTTAATGAGGCTTTAAGGTAAGACATCGGAAGTTGGGTTGCATCAAGTGTGCACATGTGTACTATGTACTCCTATTATTTGTAATGGCAAGTTGATTATGGACTGGAATATGTTGGATGTGACCTGCGCTACGTACCCCCACCTGCAACCAGTTAGGTTGCCTGTAATGGGAGTATCATAGGTAGTATCATGCATGCCAACTAAGCACTTTTGATGAGGTGGCATAAGATTAAATGAAGAAAAAGATGCTTGAGTATCATATCATGGTACCGTATCGTATTAAATGACGTGTTATTTTGTGTCATGCATTGTAATAAATGTAGCCCTCTATGATACCGACATATGATACTACTATGCATTATGGATATAGTATCATACACTAGTATCATATGCATGATACTAGTATATGATACACCTCATTACAACCAGCCTTAGGGAAAAAAAGGTCCATTTGAAACCTACGAGAGCGTTGAAGATGAGACATGTTAGTGATAGATACTGACAAACCTTGAATTAATTTCAACGGAACGGGCCATCTGAAAGTTAAGCTGCAGATTTTGGAGCTCCACTGGGAATGTGCTCACGAGAATTTAGAACCAATAGTACGCCGCTTGGCTGTGTAATTAAGTTTGCTCCTACCTGTTCAATACAACAAGGTACAAAGCTTTTGCATTTTCGAGAGAGAGAAAAAGTACGCCGCGCACCCGTACTGAGGATTGTTTTCGGCAAAGGGTAAGTTTGTTTTCGCACCTACGTGTGAAGCAGCCGGTAGCAGTTGGTATTGTTTGTTGTGCATCTTGGCTGGTTTATCTGAATTCAGATGTGAGACACGAAACATTAGACTTAGGGGTAAAGAACTTTGTTTTATATATCTCACACTGCTGCTACATCAAAATCTTACCTGCACTGGAATCTTACAACAGACGTTTACAATCGTTTGAACAATGGCAAGTTATAGTGGCTACTATTAAACACATCCTACTGGATCATGCACGCACACTGTCAGAATGCCTTCTTTTCTTGTTTTTGCTACTGTGGCATTGCTTCTTTGACTGCACCATTGATGGCCCGGTTCAGTGCGAGAAAAGGCACAACCAAAGCGCCTACCAAGAAACAGGACTGAGACATAAATATGAAGGATAAGGAGACAGGAAAAGGGAAGTTCAAAGACCGAACAGTCAAAGAGAACCATACCTACGAAGGATCTTCATTAGGTTTGTCATTTCGGAATTCAGATACAAACAGAAAGAACAACTTCACTCCCACTTAATCCAAGCAATGCAAGCAAAAAGAAAGTCCTCGGCTTTCCCCTGGTTCTAGTCAATCACAACTTCAGAAGACGAACTTCAATAATCTGCATTCAAGAGGGCAATCAAATTAACAATATTTGAAGTAACAAACATTCAGGCTGGTGATACTGTTATACACTTGTCTAAAATTTACTGGAAGGAACTGAAGTAGCAGTATTCGTTGTTTTCTTTTGAGGACAGAAAAGCAGAAATACCTCTGCTGGATCCCTCAAGTAATAGAAGGGATCACTGCCTTTGCCAACTTCCTAAGCCACGGTCATTTGCTTTCAGAGACCGTTTTCAGATAAGCTAACTTGATTCCTCACGATATGGAAGTGATTTATCTTCCAGGTTTTGTCAGCAGCACTGAAGATGCAGCAGCGGCAACACCTGAATCGCTACAGGAGAATCCGGCAAGCGCAGAACAGGCCCGACCCAAGAGGAGAGCCCAGGCTCCAGCAAGATTGTGTGGCCCGGAGTGGGCCCGCTAGGCGATACTTATATACGTCCGGTACTGGTACTGTAACGGGTGGCTGGCG